CAAATGACGCAATCCTGGAGAGAAATATCAGATGTGCTGCTGCCCTCAACCCCTTTGTCTATACACGTTGCAGATCGGCCTGTTTTCCAGTGTAGTCCTGTATCTCTGACTGTGACTGGCTAGATGTGCTCTCTTCATCCTCTGACATGGGAGCTGGCTCGGAGCTCGTCTGCCTGGCTGTGTGTTTCCTGGACGGGGCCGCCTTTTACAGCTGCTTTTTGTATCTCTGCTTCTGACTCCTTGATGCAATCAACTGGATTTCCTTAGATAGAAAACTTTGAATCTGACTGATCTGATGAACTGTAAAGTGACTTGAGATTACATGTGTTGTGAATTTGCGCTATATAAATAAACTAAATTGAATTTAATTGAATTTGTCTTGCCTTGTTACCTTCAGTCATGCCTGCTATTTATGCAAACTAGTCCAGTTTGTCTGATTAGTTCATAATCAATCTCTTAAATATGTGTCTTTCTGAGCACAAGCTACAATAACTCATGCACTGACTGACTGCATCATTAAAGTTCTATAGAGACTTGACCTTTGGCAACTGCTTACTCTGATGAGAGAGGTATGAGATCCATGCTGTGAGCATAAAGGAGCTCTTTGTACATCCTTTCAGCATGTCTATACCTGGAGTCTGAAGAGGCTTCCTGTGTTCAAAAAACTGTTTAATAATCTTTTTTATTTGTTTTCTTTTTTGTTTTTTTAGGTCCCACACTTGTGCACACAAACATTCAGATTGTGCAAAGACCAATAATTAAAGGTAAAAGTCCGGTCAAATTCAGAATTCAAAATTCTGAAAGTACTTTAAACATTAAATTATTACAAACTGTTCAATAAATGATAAGTGTTTTAACTAAGAGTAATTTTTATTTGAATGTGCTTTACTGGAGGCACCCATGTTTGTCACAGAACACTACTGCCAGCTACCATCACGGTGCGGTATCGGCTGTTGATCAAGTCCCAGTGCTGCATCTGGTGTTTGTCACAACGGGCTATTATCCAAGTCATCTTGAAAACATTCTTCTTCCAAATGTTGGCTACATATTACGTGTTTTTTTTTTCTCTGGCAAATCCTCCCTCTTCAAGGTGGCAATCCAACGACGAACCCATCCGTGGAGGATCAGGAATCAGAAAGGTGAAATAACTAATTTTTTCCCACTTTTACCCGATGTATTCCAACATCCAGCTGCCATGCAC